TCACCCTAAAAATAGTGAGGGGGGAATAAAATAACTAACCTGTAAAAAAAAAAAATTTAACTTACCATTTGACGTCTTCTTTTTTCTAAAATCTTCTTTCTTCAGCCCCCAAAAAGGCCAAATAAAAATCCATTATACCCGTCGCACTTTAAAAAAAAAAAAAAAACGAGCGCAAAAAAAAATAATCCATGTTCGCCCTTCGAGGGCACGCCGCACTGAGCTCCGCAGGGCGGGTCAAGGCTTATAAAGCCTTGCCCCGCCCTGCAATTAGGCTTAGAACACTCTGATTGGTGGGTTTAAGCCAATCAGAGTGCTCTGAGTCATTTTACACAGCGTGGGAAATTCAAAAGAACTTTCCCATGCTGTGTAAAATGACACAAACACTCTGATTGGGTGGCCTTGCCACCCAATCAGAGTGCTTGTGATTTTACACAGCTGGGAAAGTTCTTGAATTTTCCCACGCTATGCTAAAACTCCTGCCCTTCAGGGGTGGGGGCCGGGGGGGGAGGACAGTAGGTCCCCCCCCCTTATTGTTTTATTAGGGCCCCCACCCACCGCGCAGGGGTGGGGGCCGGGGGGGAGGACAGTAGGTCCCCCCCCTTATTGTTTTATTAGGGCCCCCACCCACCGCGCAGGGGTGGGGGCCAAGGGGGGAGGACAGTAGGTCCCCCCCCTTATTGTTTTATTAGGGCCCCCACCCACCGCGCAGGGGTGGGGGCCGGGGGGAGGACAGTAGGTCCCCCCCCTTATTGTTTTATTAGGGCCCCCACCCACCACGCAGGGGTAATGGGGACAGAAGTTCCCCCATATCTTTATTTAGGGCCCCCACCCACCGCTCAGGGGTGGGGGCCGGGGGGGGGGACAGAAGTTCCCCCCCATCTTTATTTAGGGCCCCCACGGGCATGGTGGGGGGTTATTAGTTTTTTGGGTTTTTTTGGTTTATTTTTACAGTGAGCAGCTATAAGCTGCTCACTGCTTACTACACATGCCCCTACTCGCGGTATAGCGAGTAGGGGCATTTAATTTACTAATACAAAGTAATCTTTACTTAGTATTAATAAAGTTGGCTGAAAGACCAATTTAGGTCTTTTAGCCTTTTAGTAGATAGCTCCCTGATACCGTGGGAATTAGGGAGTTATCTACTAAGCGGCTGCAAGATGCAGCCGCGGCAATGAACAGGATCGGAGTTTCATTCATTAGAATGAAATTCCGATCCGAATAAAGTGCCGAATTGCGTTCTAAAGGAAACGAACATACTGTTCTCATTCAGTTAGAACGCAATTCGTCAGTTTAGTGTAAAGTGACAGGAAGCATCGTGGGAACACAGAGGAAAGGTAAGGATTATGGGAAAATTGCTCTGACCAGCGGAAATGAAGCACACTTTGCTCCTCCGCTGGTCAGAGCTGGTCAAGCGGAGGAATCCTCCATAAGGCAAAGAGTCCCTACTTTGTCTTATGATTTTAAAGAAAACTAAAGAAGACAGGAAGAAAAGAATAACAGATCCTGAGAGAGGGGGAGAAGAGGAAGAGATTGAGGAAAGGTAAGTTCGGCATGACAGTGCCGCTTTAAATACATAAAGTGAATCAACACAGTAAAGGAGGAGACTATATTTAAAAGAAGAAAAACTACCACAACAAGAGAACATAGTCTTAAATTAGAGGGGCAAAGGTTTAAAAATAATATCCGGAAGTATTACTTTACTGAGAGGGTAGTGGATGCATGGAATAGCCTTTCAGCTGAAGTGGTAAAGCAGTGGTTCCCAAACCTTTTAAGTTCAAGGCGCCCTTAATATTTTAATATTTTTCCAAGGAGCCTCAAGTCAAAAAAATGTCTAGGTTGTATATATGTACAGCGCAGCGGCATATACTGGGCCCCTGTTCGGCAGAAATGCTTTCCGTTCAAGTGCAGATACAGATTGGGAGGGGCACTTGTAAATTATTTAAAGAAACTATCCAGGCACAATAACCACTACAGCACTTTGTAGTGGTTATGGTGCCAATAGTGCCCTCACAGACTAAGTAGTCAAACTATTTAAGAACAGTTTGACACCTTACCTGGGATCTGCCTGTATAGGGGCTAAAGAAGGGAATAGGGGCATTAGTGTGTGTGAGAGGTGCAATATGTGTGTGTGAGTGTTGGAGTTGTGTGTGAGGGGTGCAGTGTGTGCGTGTGAGGAGTGCAGTGTGCCTGTGTGTGTGTGTGTGTGTGTGTGTATGTGGGGCAGTTTGTTTGTGAGGGGTACAGTGTGTGTGTGTGTGTGGGGAGGGGCAGGTTGTATGTGGGTTAGTGTGTGTGTGTGTGTGAGGGGTATAGTGTGTGTGAGGGGTACAGTGTGTGTGTGTGGGGGGCAGGTTGTATGTGGGGCAGTGTGTGTGTGTGGGGTACAGTGTGTGAGGGGTATAGTGTGTGTGTGAGGGGTACAGTGTGTGTGTGTGTATGGAAGGGCAGTGTGTGTGTGTATGGAGGGGCATGTGGGTGTATGGGGGTAGTGTGTGTGTGTATGGGAGGGCAGTGTGTGTTTAAGGGAGCAGTGTGTGTGTATGGGGGGAGTTATTGTGTCTCTGTGGGAGTAGGAGGGCAAATTTATAAATATATATATACAGTTGCAAGAAAAACCCTTTGGAATGATATGGATTTCTGCACAAATTGGTCATAAAATGTGATCTGATCATCATCTAAGTCACAACAATAGACAATCACAGTCTGCTTAAACTATAACACACAAAGAATGAAATGTTGCCATGTTTTTATTGAACACACCATGTAAACATTCACAGTGCAGGTGGAAAAGTATGTGAACCCCTAGACTAATGACATCTCCAAGAGCTAATTGGAGTGAGATGTCAGCCAACTGGAGTCCAATCAATGAGATGAGATTGGAGGTGTTGGTTACAGCTGCCCTGCCCTATAAAAAACACACACCAGTTCTGGGTTTGCTTTTCACAAGAAGCATTGCCTGATGTGAATGATGCCTTGCACAAAAGAGCTCTCAGAAGACCTACGATTAAGAATTGTTGACTTGCATAAAGCTGGAAAGGGTTATAAAAGTATCTCCAAAAGCCTTGCTGTTCATCAGTCCTCGGTAAGACAAATTGTCTATAAATGGAGAAAGTTCAGCACTGCTGCTACTCTACCTAGGAGTGGCCGTCCTGTAAAGATGACTGCAAGAGCACAGCGCAGACTGCTCAATGAGGTGAAGAAGAATCCTAGTGTCAGCTAAAGACTCACAAAAGTCACTGGCAAATGCTAACATCCCTGTTAGCAAATCTACAATACGTAAAACACTAGACAAGAATGGATTTCATGGGAGGGTACCACAGAGGAAGCCACTGCTGTCCAAACAAAACATTGCTGCACGTTTACAAGAGCACCTGGATGTTCCACAGCAGTACTGGCAAAATATTCTGTGGACAGATGAAACCAAAGTTGAGTTGTTTGGAAGAAACACACAACACTATGTGTGGCTAAAAAAAGCCACAAGACACCAACATCAAAACCTCATCGCAACTGTGAAGTATGGTGGTGAGGGCATCATGGTTTGGGGCTGCTTTGCTGCGTCAGGGCCTGGACGGATTGCTATCATCGAAGGAAAAATGAATTCCCAAGTTTATCAAGACATTTTGCAGGAGAACTTTAGGCCATCTGTCTACCAGCTGAAGCTCAACATAAGATGGGTGTTGCAACAGGACAATGACCCAAAGCATAGAAGTAAATCAACAACAGAATGGCTTAAACAGAAGAAAATACGCCTTCTGAAGTGGCCCAGTCAGAGTCCTGACCTCAACCCGATTGAGATGCTGTGGCATGACCTCAAGAAAGCGATTCACACCAGACATCCCAAGAATATTGCTGAACGGAAACAGTTCTGTAAAGAGGAATGGTCAAGAATTACTCCTGACCATTGTGCACGTCTGATCTGCAACTACAAGAAACGTTTGGTCGAAGTTATTGCTGCCAAAGGAGGTTCAACCAGTTATTAAATCCAAGGGTTCACATACTTTTTCCACCTGCACTGTGAATGTTTACATGGTGCGTTCAATAAAAACATGGCAACATTTCATTCTTAGTGTGTTATTAGTTTAAGCAGACTGTAAATGTCTATTGTTGTGACTTAGATGATGATCAGATCACATTTTATGACCAATTTGTGCAGAAATCCATATCATTCCAAAGGGTTCACATACTTTTTCTTGCAACTGTGTGTGTGTGTATGTATGTGTATATATATATATATATATATATATATATATATATATATATATTTTGCAGAGCTGGCAGGGGAGAGGTAGGCACAGTTCCTGGTGCGATCATAGCACCAGGAAAATATTTTGCGGCTCCCCTGTGTGCCTGTCGCGGCGCACCAGGGTGCCGTGGCACACGGTTTGGGAGGGAACCGCTGTGGTAGAGGTTAACACAGTGAGGGAGTTTAAGCATGCGTGGGATATGCATAAGGCTATCCTACCTATAAGATAAGGCCAGGGACTAATGAAAGTATTAGAAAATTCTGCAGACTAGATGGGCCAAATGGTTATTATCTGTCGTCACATTCTATGTTTCTATGTTTTATTTCAAGTAGAACATGTCCTTATCAAGTGGTAGCCAACTCGGTCAGTCAGTGCTGGTGAGATCAACGCTGAGATGTTTCTCCCAAATCCACCACATGAGTATTTAGGCCAAAAACCTCAATATCGTGTACGAAGGCTTCCCAGATCTCAGTTATCAAGTTCAACAGTTGCAAAATACTTTGTGGTGAACATGGACTCGAAAATGGTTTATGAGTCAAATAGTAACAGCTCAAGGGGGAGCTCGGGGCTTCTTACGTGGGTCCGACTTCCTGAATGCACCAGAGACTTTGTAGCATGTTATTACTAGAACAGAAAACCAGTAATATGGGTTGATATTTAGAGAAATGTCTACAACACTTGTAGAACAACGTATTTATTAAAATGTCAGGCTATAGTTAGTAGAATTTGAGGAGAAAATAAGTCTAGATATGTTCTCTCATTGCTGCCTTCTTCGATGTTCCCTCCTTAACGGTGATCCAACAACTGTGGGTTTCACAGGTAGTGCTTTCTCTGAAACCAATGAAACAGGACAGAATGTTTGAACAAACATACTACACTTTACATGGAATCAAAGGATTACTCAATTCAAATGTTATAGTTTTATTAGAAATATTTCTCTTTTACCAGCTTGGATGATCTGGAGGACCTTTCACAGTGATGTACCTAAAGAATACACAGGCTTCAGACTGCATGTCTCAACATTCCAAATGATTAAACATAGTTCCAGTTCTCTCGAGATGTGCAGTTGATGTGGCAATGGGGTGGTATATTCCAGGAATTTTTTTTATGCCTTTATGACGTGTATATATAGCTATGAACATATTTAGATGTGTCATTCAAAACAAGAATTTAATATTTTATTAATAAATATTATTAACATGTTTACTATGGTTGAATCACATTTTTATAGAACTTTATGATTCATTCATTCACAGAGAAAAACAATTCTGAATATTCTGATCTCATAGAAAAAGATCGATGCCTGAGCATTGACTTCGAGAATATAACGTTATCATAACGAGAAACTCAACTTCCAAAAAAAAATAATCATTGTTTAGTAAATATACCCTCAATAAAACTAAGCATGCTTTTAATTATGCATTATTATTGTCATTTGGGTTATCTCTAAAAACAATTTGTAAAAGCAGCAAATCTCTTGTTTAAAGACTTTACAAGCCCTCCCCTTCTAATTCCGCCCGGACTTTCTGCGGCTGTCCAATCACAGACTTGCTGATGCAGCTCAATGAGAAGTCTTTGCAAGACAGGTGCTCTGGACAATCGCTGCCTCTCAAATTTAGCTCCACCGAGCGAAACAACCAAGAAGTAACAGGACCGTTTGATGGTAAGGTTAATTTATAAAAGTGACAATTTCTATTGAAATCTGCATTTTTTGTAAAATGACAAAAAAGGACACACTCTTCATTTATAATGCATTTCCACAACCTGAAGTGCTTAGGCATCTGGTGTGTCCCTTTAAATAAGGGATCTCAAACTCTGGGACCCTAAGCTACTGATTGACTACAAGTTCCAGAATTATTTTAATGCAGAAGCGGGCCATAGAATCGTAGAGGTTGTAGTTAGCAACATGGAAGGGCGAGATTGAGATATCTGTCTTAAATGAAATTGAGATTGATACACTCAGCCCTAGTGCCAAACATTGGCGATATTAGCTTGCTGCCATTTTTTTTAAAGGGAAAATGATGGACGATTACATTTTCAGTATTACTACAATGTCAGGCTATAGTTACTAGACTTTAATCTGAGATGCTCTATAGGCCAAAGCCTTAGCATTTATCACCGCGTTCAGCACTGGGGGTATACCTGGCATTCACGCCACCATCTAAAAGGTATACATGCATTCCTTTCAACTATTGACTGCAGGAGGGTGAGCTGCATCTTGCTCACCTCTCTATAATTTAAAGGATTAGAGCGAAGCAATTACGAATTTGTAGCAAAACAGGATTAGGCCTGTCATCAGCTTCAATGTAACTGAAAACACACCATGTTGAACGGTGATGGTTAGTTTGCAGAAAAGAAAGAAATAAAAACAAACTTTCAATATTCCTTGACTGATCACCTTTATCATCGCAAGCAATTATAGGATCACACTTTGTTTATGCAATAAAAGGAGAATTGCTAATAATGTGCAGCTGTTGACACATCACAGAGCCCACCCTAACCATCCCACTGTCAGTGCATGGTTGTACTACAACACCCAGTTTGTGCACCTCTCTACCTCTGTTTGACCTCATCTCCGTCATGGATTCAAGGGCAGCTTTGTTGCAAATAACATCCATATCCTCTGCGGTTTTTCAACCTTCTCTTCATCCTTTGAGGATATTCTCATATTGTGCATAATAACCCATCTTAAAACACCTCTCTCCATCCCTTACACTCCATGCCTCCCCCCGCCACTTCCTTCCCTGTTCTATTGTCATCCCTAAAATAATGCTGTCTATCATGTAACATGGTCGTATCTGTCTTTGACTCATCTTTTTTGCCACACATACTCCATTACTTACAGTTGCAACTGTCAACACTTCAGCTACCCAACCCAGATTGCTGTGAAACTTCATACATTCCCTAGTCTTCACTTGGCAAATGCTATTCCACCTCCTTGGTCTCCCTCAAACCTTCATCCCATTTCATAGTTCAAGATATAGACCTACTGCCTTCCAATGCTGTATTTCAAATTCATTATGCAAATCCTTATCACCTCTTTCTTCACAGGTATACAATGCCCGTACCAGTTTTTTTTTTCCCCACTCCTATTCCACCAAAACCCCTCACCATCCTTCATGCTCCAATGTTCTGATTAGATTTACTCAGAGTCCTATAATACTGGTCTTAACATCTTATCATCCACAATGTTAAACTCATCTGATCTCAAAGCCACCTTGCATAATTCCCACTCCCAACAAGTATTAACCCCCATTTGCAATATTTAGATTTTAGAGTTTCAAATACTCTTTGATAACGTAACTCATGACATTTACCAACTAAACGCCATTAACTAAAAAGTTTTAGAAATTAAAATTTAAAACCGGCTTTATTTTTAAGATTATTGTGAAAGCCATGTACAGTTCACACACATTAAGACTGCAGATGTTCACGACGTGTTTAGCGACAATCTCTTCAAAGACACTCCAGAGACCTGCACAGCCTGACCAGGAAAGACTTGGACTCCGTGCGTGTCAGAGTCTGTGGTTACAAGGTGACAGCCCTTGGATGGGCCTGGGGCTTGTACCACTCCTGTACAAGACTTTACCTAAGGTACCAAACACTACTCAGTCAGGGAATAGGCTGGCTGCCACTTTTTCCACCTTACTGACTGCTTACATCTCAGGCGCTGAGCTACTGTCCTTGCTGCAGGGGCCAGTTTAATTATCTAGTTTATTTGTGGTGAGTGTCTGGTTCCAGTTGCATAAGCGAGTAGTAAGTTCAACTTTATTTTCCATTTTCGTTCTGAAATGTTGATGCCTATGTAATCGCTAGTTACACCGAAACAGGTTTAGCTCTGGTTCATGAAGTGTTCATACCTTATTTTATTTTAATTTATTTCTATAATCTTTAAAATCTTACTCCAACATGAAGACAAAATACTGTACATGAAAAGACTGCTCCTCCATATTGTCATCTCACTTAAGGTTTTTTTATTGATACTAGTCCGTCATGGATATATCATACCAGGGATACTCCAATGTTACCTCATTTGAATCTTTATTTTTATTTAAATGTATACTTTTAACACCTTAAACACACTGCATTTTGTGTCAATATTTTCTGTCTCTTAATTTTAAAAAAAGTGATTTTTCCCTTTTATTAAGCACAGTTATGTATGCCAGTGTATTGACCTCCTCATGCACAATAAAAGAGATTATAATGTGTCCACTGTGACTGGTGCATGACTTGTTTTAGTGCGGTTTGGTATTCCAGTTGTTTAAGTAATCATAGTTAACCCTTTGACACTGACATTTTGCATATATTATTGCCACCACTGTCCAACTATGAACTTAAACTTCATGACTCAATATAAATCCTGATTGTCACCCCAAAAAACTGCAGGTGTCATTTACTGTACACAAACATTCCTCCAACACGTTTGTTTAGTGAGATGAAAGGTCAGACTCTTAGAACCGCATTCCTCAGCTACTTTGTACGCAAATAAAGACTCATCCCTTCCTGTGTCATACAACATGGCTCCTCTATGGAACACAACTGTAGTACAGTTTATTAGGTTAGAGAGGGCCTTCTATAAATATATTTATACGCACTACAAGGTGGTGTTATAGCGGGTTTATCTAAAGTCCTCATTTTAAGAAGGGAATATATACTGTTCTATATAGAAGACTCCCACAATTAACAAAGAGTCTATATAAATAAGTTTAGAAGCTTTTAATTAATGGCGCACAGAATTAAACACAAAAACAGATCTAGGGGTGCAGGTTACTTTGTCCTTGGAAAGTGCAGAAGAGGAAAAAAAAAAATATTCTAATACAATATGTTTAGGAAACCACCTTTTATGCTGTTGAAAAGGGGTCTATTGGCATAAGCCCAAATAATGAGGCATTAAAGGCCATAAAGAGATTATACCGGTTGCATGGTTTCATTTTATGTGTGAGCCAAATGGATTACAAAAGGATTTTCACAACGTTAAGTCTGCTAAAATTACTTTAACACCAGCTGGCAGGTAATCAATGGGAGGGTCTTCTACGGCTTCTGTAGTATTTTAAAAATTACAAAAATGGTATGAGAACTGTAAGAATGGACAAGAGCTTAGAGGAACTCAGTAGCGTGCCCTTCAGTTAGTCCCCACTCAGGTCTGAAATGTTTGTTCACTTGTGCCATTACAAAGAAAACAAACCAGCAGCATATCCGACTGTATCCCTCACAGAAACAGATAAACACATTCACTGACAGACAGCTACTCAGACAAGGACAGATTTAACATTTACTGACAAACACATTTCCCCCCTCCCCCAACATTTACAACTAATTTACTTTTATTTTAATTTAAATCCAGCCTCCCTACTTTTGGGATAACTGGGTGGTTTTCACCTACATCCCCATAATGCTGACAAAGCATCATGGGAGGTGTAGTCCAACACATCTGGAGTGCCGAAGGTTGCCTATGCCTGTCCTGGGAACTCCAGGAAGGTAAGTAGTTTTACACTTTCATTATAGTTGGTGTATTCACTAAGTTTAGGACATGGGACATTTAGGGTTAATGTTAGGGTTCAAATTAGGGTTAGATTTAGGGGGTTATTTTTGATTTAGTCATTTTTCAAAATAGGGGAATGTCATAAAACTGTCATTTATGTCACCCTTTAATTTAACACTTACCTCAAGGGTTAGAAGTGTGAGGTTAAAATAGCTTACCAAGCCTTAATTTCCAGTGTTCCTAAGCTTAGTGAATGCACCAACTATAATGAAAGTATAAAAGCTGTGTTACCTACCTTCCAGGACCTGGCTGTGGAGGCATTCCCAGGACATGGTCACAGCCTCCATCAGATTTCTCTACCCCAGCTGGAGTGCTAGCACACATGCGCAGCACAGGGTCCAGCTAATTCCCCTCACCAGAAGTGAAGTCCATGTAGAAATCTGATAGAAAACTGGCATCACTGCAGGCCGTGCAAGGGAGCTGAGCAGGAAGAGCTCAGATCAGCGCTCCCTCTGCCAGCGTGTAAAGAAACTGTCTGGGCCCCGAGGGGGCCTTGAGGGTGGCCAGCTGGCTAACTCTTGGGCCCCCATAAGTCAAGGCAAACAAGGTATTTGCCAGGGCACTTGGGGCAGCGGCGTTTTTGCTGCCCCCTGGAAAGTGCTGCCCCCTGGAAAGTGCTGCCCAAGGCAAATTCCTTGTTTGCCTTGCGCTAAATACAGTATTGCGCAATAAGCCTGTGATTTGATCAAGTGAATGAGAGGATGGGGCGTGGAAGACATTGCTGGGAGCTTTGGTGCTGAATCTGTAAATTTTAAATATTTTAACAGTGTTTGGGGGCTGAGAAAAAAAAAAACACGAAAAAAAACACAAACTAGTTTTACAAGGGTAGTAACCCTTTCATGATCAGATTCTTGACAGTGCAACCCAGAAGAATTATAAAAGTGCCAATTTCTCATAAAACCAGCACTTTAAGTGCTTTAGGGGTTTAGAGTACACAGTCTCTCACTTTATCAAGCCACGTTCCTTTAAAAAGATGATCAATTCAAAGCAGGTAAGAGTCAGCACAGTTGCTCAAAAACCTTGTAATAACAGGTGCAGAACTAACTTTATTCAGTTAACTGGAATAAAAATACAAAAATATTTTATTAAACATACATTAAACTATACAATATTAACACTTACATTTACAATATAGTACATTACGTATAAACACTTTTTACTTTGTCTCCAAAGTACTGGATGAAGATATCGGGGTGACTTTTGTAGAACTGACCCAATAGACGTTTCTTCTCTTTAGGGGAAAGTCTTGTGTTTTCGTAGATGGTTTTCAGTAATGTCCAAAGTTCAGACTTTGTTGTAGTTTGTACAGTTGAAGCCAACTCTGTTTTGTCCACTTTCTGACAGTAGGTTACGCCTGTATTGGAGAGGACAATTATAGTCCACATACAAGTGATTTATTTATTTTTTTATTCTTCTGAAATTGAGCTAAACATTTGTATAGTCCTGTTTGTCACAACGTTTACAGAACATTAGGGGGGAAAGGTGCAGTTTTACATTAGCAACACCCAATCTGGTAAATTGGATTAGGGGACTATTCAGACACTTCCCAACAAGATGTAACATTAAGAAATATTTGACCAGTGAGGATGCAATTTTAGTAATCCCGATCAGAAGTTTGCTGCTGTAAGGGAAAATCTGTATGACACAAGGAGTTTAATTACATTTTCTGCCATATACAGCCACAACAAGACAATGCCACAAATACAGAGAGTCTCCCAATACTTTCAGCTAATATTCGTACCTGTGTCTTTATCAGGATCTCTTCCTTGTTGAATGGACACCAATTTATCACTGACCATCTTGTGCAGGGTCCCAGGGATCTTAAAATGGGAAGGAAAAATAAAATGAGATGTAATTAGTGCCATTCTGGCGAGTGTTGCCTGCTTTAAAGGACCACTATAGGGCCAGGAAAATATACTAATTTTCCTGGCTCTGTAGGGTCCTTGGGTCCCCCCCACCCTCCAGGCTCTAGGGTGAGGAAGGGGTTAATCTCTTTTTCCCCCGGTGCTGGGACTCCTCCTTTCCAATCATTGGCTGAATGCACATGCGCAGCACGAGCCGCGCATTCAGCCAGTCTCATAGGAAAGCATTCTCAAAGCGTCTCTAGCAGCTGTCAATGAGAGCCACTAGAGGCTGGATTAACCCATAGGTAAACATAGCAGTTTCTCTGAAACTGCTATGTTTACAGCTGTAGGGTTAACCCTAGATGGACCTGGCACCCAGACCACTTCATTGAGCTGAAGTGGTCTGGGTGCCTATAGTGGTCTTTAAACTGATCTTGCTCTTGTGCTTGTCTTTATAAAAAACAAAAAACCATCAACTAGTGTAGTCACCCAGTCTGTCAGGTACATTTTAGAAGTTTGTTTTTGCTTAAATTTATTTTAACTAGGAAATGCAGTTTATTTTCACAGATCCAGAAGTTAAGAGGTCCAACGAAAACTCAGTTAATAAATGGAATGTACCTACCCCCTGTAACCTGTGCATAGAATTAAGACAAGTTTGAAAAACCTCTGAAATTATGCTTTCAGCCAAGTAATTTACCTTGAAAACATCCTTGTGATGATCTAACAGGAAAAGAACCAGAAGATCGGATTTTCCTTTGGATAAAGTCTTATGGTTGACGATTGCCTTTGAGAACATTCTTTTCACAGTCATTCGGTTATCACTCTACAAATTGAAATAGAAATAGAGGAGTAGGTATGCATGTCAGAGAAAATATTGTTACAACCTGACATTTCAAACATTAAAAAGATCCTGATCTGTAGACATGTAGCTTGATGTAAACGATCACCTGTCAATTTTAGATTTAGTGATTGCCAAAATCAAAGGCAAGTAGAATTCTAGCTCAAACATTTGTATTTATAAGATTATATATAATGTTCCTTTATTGTACAAAGCTGTATTCTTAACACTTGTCACTGCAGTCTCCCATATGACAAAGGATAAAAAAAACCTACACACACCACACCTTAACACTTACCCGATTCCAGCACGGAGGTCCCTGAGCTGCCTCTATTGCCACTTCCTTTGAATTCAGCAAGGGGTAGCAAATGCACTTTCAGAACGAGTGCCACTCATTAGGCCTTCCCCAGAAGAAACCATTGATTTAATGCTTTCCTATGGGGATTTGCAAGACACTGGACAGCCTCATGTAAAGAGATGTCCAGTGTCCTTTCACTCTGAAAAAGCAGGTGACGCCTCTAGCAGACAGCCACTAGAGAGTCTTAATGCAGTCATGTTTTCAGCTGCTGTGTTAAGGGGACAGACAGCGCACCTAGAGCACTTCAATGAGACAAAGTTACCTGGTTTCCTATAGTGTCCCTTTAATTGGCCTGCAAGCCATATTCAGCCCTCTAACTGGTTTGCAAACAGTAAGGCTGTGACTTCCATGTAGGAAGAGATTTAGAGAAGTACATTTACAAAAATGCCTATATAATTTTATAAAGTTCCTCTGCAGGGCACAAACTAAAATGATCTAAGCCAACAAAGAATCTGAGAACAGCGTCTAAGCTCATCACCAGTTCGAAGCAGTAACGTACTCTCTGAATCCAGATAGATTTTAAGTGCTCCCAACATTCACCCACTTGTAGTTTAGTGGCATCTCATCCAAGTAAAGAACTCTCCCATCGTACCTCTTCCTGCAGTTTTATCTCAGTCTGTTCTGCAGCGACGGCCATGAAATAGAGAAGGCATCGGAACTCTTCTCGAGTTTGGGAATTCAGCAGTTTTAAGCAGAGTTGCGTCGCTTCGAGAGCCTGATCGTTCTTTCCATTCACTGATAAGAGAATGCACAATCAGATTTTGTTTGTTTCTTTACCGCAATCTGGCTTTTAGAAACAAGTTTCATAGCATGCCCAGTCATGAGACGTCCTGCTGTATGAAAAGGCAAACTATTACATTCTGATGTTATATGGAGAGTTTTATGGAGTTTACAAAACACAGGGAGAGTCAAAGCATTGGTATAAACAAATGTTTTAAATCCATAAGCTCGTAAATCTAACTCAGGGCAGGTGGACCCACCAAGCTAAACCGATCTATTTGTCCATCAGCAGGTCTAATCATTATGCTCTAGAACTGCTCATAAAATGGTTCAGAATACAGAGGATTTTCACTCCCTTCATGCCTCAAGATCTGGAAGGTATTTCCCCACAGTGTTCCATAACACACTATACAGGTTAATTTGCCTTTAAACCAGATTCTGGCCAAGGGTGACTTTTCTGCATACTAGGTCCTTTATGTTCAAGGTTTGTCTAGAGTTTGCCATTGTATTCACCCTACACAACTCACATAAATGGCTACAGTCTAGTTCTATAGATATGCAACATTCAATATTACAGCAGCGGCATATACAAGTTCAAAGTCAATTGCTATTTGACAAAATCTAAAAATCGCAAACACTGGATATGGAGAACCACTCGATATGCTGCCAATAGATTCCTTTACATATCTCTACAAATAGAGCAATCCCAGCCAGATCTGGTCAGTCAAAACACTTGTATTTGTAAAATACCAATTTCACTTAAAAAAAAAAAAAAAATAAAGTTTACAAAAATTAAACCCAACTCTCAATCTGTTTCAAAAAGTGTTAGGCCAGTGAAATGTTTATTTTTCTCTCCTAGTTTTTTTAAATACAGCAAGACACCACTATTAGCATTCTAAACATCCATGCTATGAATGGTGTCAGAGGGAGGGTTACATTTAGTCCCCTGGTACCAGCTTGGCAAGCTCTTCAGAAGATCCTGCATAATATTATTCACTCAGGTGGTTAAAGTTTTACACCTGTTCCTTCCTTAGGTGACTGAAAACAGGCAAGCTTTGCATTAAGAAGTGTCACTTGTGACAAACCATCTAGCGGTCATTATGGTAATCCATGGCACAGAATTGGTTTGCCATATTGCTTACCCAGGAGCTCAGCGATCCCAACGTGTATGTCAAAGAACTGATTGGTAACCAGCGGTTCTCGAATCTGATAGTATCGGCTGATCGTCTCAAACAACCGCAGCTTCCATTTCTCATCTTTGTCCTGATGTTCTGGTAGATTCCGACTGACATCCACCACCATTTGATCAGGCAAAAACTCCAAGCAATCCACAGCAGCAGACACCCACTCATCAGCTCTAAAAACAAACACACACAAAGTCAAATGGAGGAGATCCTTTTACTCATCTGATTCTTCCCAGTGTCTTCGTTAAGGGTCATTTGTTCATCAAAGAATGGATCATTGAACCAGTTTACCAATAGAAGAATTGCCAGGCTATTATGATCCTTTAGAGAGAAAAACAAAAACCACTAAAAGAAAACCAAAGTTGCCAGTAAATTATACTTTTAGTGTGATTTGTTTTTAAAGCATTATCTACAGATTACACCTGTGACACTTGGAATTGGCCATTTTAGGGTACATACTGTGAGTCACTGAAAGCTTTGAGGATTTCTCGATCCAGGAAATTTGTTGTGATAATAAATTCCTCCTTTTTGGGTTGTGGAGCTGAGGGGGGCACCGTGACATTTTCCAACAATGCATCCAAAAGCGGGAGGTCTACGAGTTGCAGAAGCCGTCGGATGGTCTGTTCTTGCCAGACTTCACTAAGTACTAGGAGAGAAATGCAAGAAAGATTAGGTACATGGTGACTTGTAACTCACAATTTGTTGACTTTGTGCCAAGCAACATAACATACCTGCTACAGACACAAGTTTGATTAATAAATACAATTAAAAAGCCAATGTAATGAGAGTGTCTTGGGACCATGTTCTTTTAGCAAGGTTAATTGTTTAACTTGTGAAACGCGTTGGGACTATAGTTGCAAACATTAACAAGGATATTCACTAGAGTGAGAATGGTTGGCAATTGCTACAGAATTCACCTAGTCCTGGCCACTTTTTTCCTGTGGCCCAGGATGTCCTATCTAGTAAACCGAATCACTGCAAACTCTTAGTTTGCTAAGCCACCACGAAGGTTACTTTGGCAACTATCTCAGCAGTGACAGCCAGCAGCAACCAGTCACAGCAAGCATTTTCACCTTGAGGTGCAGAGATTCCTATACAGCCAACAAAGTAATTCTGGAGTGTTGAGGATCATGTAAGAGAAGTTGCTTCTTGTTTGTACCCCCTACTATACAAGCAGTTTCCAAACTTCAACAATTTAGGAAACATCACAAAAAAAACACAAATCATGCACCCCAGACTAACTTAGACATTTATTCTAGTTTCAACAAATTTAAAGACATTACAGAGTATTATTGCTGGGGAGCTCTGTTATACAGTCAGAGTGAAAAGGGGATTATTCAAAATCGGGACTGTAGTTCCTAAATAGGGACACTTTGAACATATGGAAAAACAACAAGCCTACAATGCCACTATGAAGTATCATTAAATACAGATTGTATCAAGATTTAGGCCATCAGTTCACTAGCATTCATTAATGAAACATTCCATGCTGGCATGCAGAGAGTTAAACCAATTGAAGACAATTCACTGAATTGTAATGGAGAGACCTTTAAGATTTCCTTTACAATGTTGAAGCCAAAAAGTTCTTAATAGAAGCCATCTTTAAGACAAGAAACCCATTCACGGTGTCTATGAGACTGTTATTATACTTTATAATGAATGTAACAATCACAATAGAACAGTAGTGTAAAATATGCGCCATTCAATAGAACCATTTGTTCCTGAACTGGCAACAGATTGTCCTTCAGGGCAAATATTTAAGGTTCTTTAAATTCTGCATTATATTTGCACATGAACACACCAGAACTTAACTCTTAAACGCTTGCTGAAGTGGTTTATGTATAGCAGAGGTGCCCAAAAGGTAGGACCCCAGTTGTAGAACTACAACTCCCATGACACTTTGCTTGTCTTTAGAATGGCAAAGCATCATGGAAGCTTCAGTTTTAAAACATCTGAGGGATCTACTTTTGGGCACCCCTGATCTAGAGCGTCATGTTTGTGACCATTGTATAAAGAGTGCCGATTTCAGTAGAAAACAGCATTTTTATAATTGGGGAGAAACCACTCCCTCGTTCAGTGACAAGCCTGTGATTGGCGTATTCCACGGCATAGACCTTCAGAGGGTTGGGCTTGCAAAGGCTGCAGATGGCAGATCTGCAGCTTTTGGCAGTAAAAAAAAATATAAATGCATGTTTTGGGGTTTATCCACTAAATTGATTAAAATATTTGGAAGTGTTCCTTTAAGATGTCATCAGCCATTGGTAGATATTCACTGCCAAACTTAGAACAGCAAACATTTAAAGTTTAGGAGTAGTGATGTAAACACCAATATAGACCCAATAAAGCATTACTGGAATACAGAGAGGACCCACCCTTCAGGCACATTTATTTTTTTAAATGCCAGGATTTTGACAGTTAACCAACCTGACATTGTGACAATGGACATTGTTCTATGAACATTCTTACCTTGGGGAGGTAGGTTGACTGAGAGATGTAGGTGTGCTGGATCTGCAGGTGTTAAACTCAAGTTATCCCAAAGATCTTCTAAACTCTGCGACTGGAGGGGAGACGACTGGAATCCTGCCTGTTCACGTCTGATGGAAAACACAACATTACAGGTTATGTGACTTACAGCAGCAACCGTGGGAGAGATGCAAAGCAAAATAAAATATAGTTTGCAGTCATGCAAAAAACACGGCCAGTAAAATGTATATTTTCTCATTCTATAAAATTATACACCCTCAAAGAACACTCACAGAACTAATTGCAAAAATAAACAAACAGCTGTATTGACTGAATCACAGTTGCTCAAATCTTATATTGATGTTTCCGTACATTGCTTGGACTTCTCCACCCCCCCCAGCCAATTGCAGCAAGTCCACATTGTGCTTATAAGGTTCCCAAATGTCAGAAAATAGTTTTGGTGGACCAGAGAGACATGAGCAGGCAAGACCAGGATAGATCCAAGATACCACAACCAAGTCTATCAGAAGATGCAACAGACTGAAACACAAAGCATAGTAAAGGAAACCGTATACAACTTGTAGAAAGTAGCAACTTGTGCACACATCTGTACATAGTTCCATGGACAGCCACTGAGGGGCTTCCTGGATGTGGTCCTGCAAAGATTGCAGGAAAAACAAACAGTCACCTGGCACTGTATCGAGAAGCTGAATCTTCTCCAGAGATGCATTGAGTTAATACATAGCTATGAAGAAATTCCAATTGGTGCAAAACTGGCTATGGTGAAGCAGTGGAATGGCAGAGATCAAGTTTAAAGTTCTCAGCTAGGTGAGAGATGACAGCAGAAAGACCAGCTAACCGACGAGTACTAGGTACATAAAACATAAGGGGCACAAATAATCTAAATTAGAACACTTTGCATTCCAACACTATAGCGGTCTTTAATGCAAAGGTTTCAACAAAATGGCAGATCATTGGGATCTTTTCTGCAAAAATTCTCTTTTCCAAGATGAATAGACTTGGGCTAGAGTCTAAAATTATCCACCTTGAGATAGCTTTAGGTATAGATTTCTGGTAACTTGGAAAACCAAGCCTTTCCTGCTGGGAACTGAACATCCATGGAACACTGCATCCCCAGGACACAGGCTAAATGCACCTTTTCTGGTTGAACGCCAACATTAAAGCATGTCATTTAATAGATTGGCTGGTATTTCTCAATGAAACATGTAAAAGTCAGGTCTAGTTTGGATCTAACCGTTACAAATTAAGTCATTTAACTTGACTAGTAAACACAGGTGGTTGTCACGTAACAGCCCAGAATTATCTAGTTCTTGATGCACATTCCTGCATGAGTTTATGGCAGACTAGTAGAACTGCCTAAACTGGATCTATACTACACAAATTGAGATAGACATCATGTAACTGCAGCCAAATTGTTGGACAATCCTGCACAGCTAGGAAATGGTGGCAGGAGGGGAATTAAACATTAATATAAGGGGGAAAAATCCATAAACTCTAATCACATGAGATGTTTAACCCCTTAAGGACACATGACATGTCATGATTCCCTTTTATTCCAGAAGTTTGATCCTTAAGGGGTTAAAAGTCAGTCCCCACAGCAAGTGTATTCTGTGTATATCTGACAGGGTACATTAATAAATGTATTCCAATTCAGTGCAGCTCAAAAAAAAATAAAGATTGATAAATTAAACAGTTAAGCTAGTAAAAAAAATTTAAAAAATTACTCTGTAGGTCTACAGAGCTGATTGATGAAGGGGGCATGGCAGTTTTAACGTCTACACACTACAGAATTGAGCAGCGCACTCAATACCTCTGTGTCCAACTTGTCTAGTTACAAACAGGAGTGTTATCCCACCCATTGTACAGCGCTGCAGAATTTGTCGGCGCTTTATAAATAAAACAAAGTGACCGTTTAAATTCAGGCAGACACATTCAGTTTTGGACTCATGACTGGCTCTTTTTTGAAAGAAACCATAATGGATCAGAGGGAGGGATACAGCACACTTTGTTCTAGAGCAGACCAATTCAACATTCTATAATGCGCACAGCGCCACCATTTATCCCAACAGGATTAAGAATATACTCCGTATGGGGAAGATGGACAGCTAGGTCAAACTTTTCCACCCAATATACTAACCAGCATGTAGACAACACACCCAGCAGATGGGAACGCTTTTCAGTCATGTAGAAAAAGATACTTTGACGATTAAGTATCTCATGCCAGTGTGTAAATGAATGGAGTAGACTGTCTACTGATTCCCCTATTCACATTATTCAAGCCACTCACTAAATTTGGATACATTTATTGATGTGCAAAAATGGGCCAGTGTAGTGCAATACACACAATATAATATGAATACTGTAATTTTCAGTACACTGATGGGAGCATTTTCCTGTCATGTTGAGTCACAGATCGAGAAAAGTTAAATAAAAAAGGATAAAACCACGAGTTGCAGAAACAAAGAAAATAAAACTACTAACGTGAAGGGTAAATAAAATCAACATTTAGTGATGTTCCCCTAGCCATAAATGGTGTCTATCATGAGTGGAATTACAAAACTGACATGCTCAGCCATTGTGTTTCCACTGGTTTGACATCCAGCTACATTTCAGCTTAAAGTTCCATAATCTGACCCCAAACCAAAACAGATCTCCACCATTAAGGGCCAGAGGACCAGACAGGGGCAGCTCTTTAGTAGGGGTCATAAAGGAAATCAGTAAGTCATGCTTTGGTTTGTATGAAATGCAAAAAATTTTTACATATTTAAGTAACTCTGCAGCAATATTTAGCAAAAAACAGTGCAGCTATAACCAAGATTAACGGGAAAAGTGATAGGGAGTTCCTCGCAAGAAGCAGATGTTACTGTGTGTAGAACGTCATTTCAGTCAGGAACCCCTGTGCACAAACCAACTGGCAAAAGCTTATTGTAAGCCATGTATAGCGCAGTTTATTGGAGTCCCTGAAAATTAAGGCAACTCGCAGGAGAATTTAGCTTCCTTGGGTTAAACAAAATGTGAACGGTTTTTAATTTAACATTTGTGTGCCCTTTGCTATCCCTCAGAACCTGGCCAAGTTTCGGGCAGCAGATTGAGCCAAACAGGAGCAGCAGGCACTGACCTGGCATAGCTCTGTGGAATGCATCGTCCATTTCCTTTTTCCAATGGGCCACTAGGGAGACCCGAGACGTTGGTAAACCTGTACAAGCTGCAGCTGCTGTCCTCAAACACCAGCCGTTTCTTCTCTTTTCCAAAGACACAAGACGTTAACACCGACTCAAACACTTTGCAGTCCATCAGAGCCTGGCACACACGCACTACTTTGGTACGAGGGATTTCAGCGTCCCCAAAATACTTCTGTTGAACCAAGTGAGCAAATACAACGTCCACGGCTTCAGAGCCAATAAAACAGTCATGGTGAGACTTTAAGTGGTGTCGTCTTTTCTTTACTTCAACCTGGGTATGCAAGGCATTGATGATACTAGTCCAGATATAAGTGGCTTTGAATGGCTTCTGAGTCAAGCTTGGACCTGTACAGAGTAAAAAAAATTAATTAAAGTTAAAAAAAATATATAGAATGCGAACATCCACAGATATAAAAATACACAGTCATAGTTGGACTTTCTCAGTTTTATATATCCATACATGGCCAAGTGCTCTCAAGATGCAAATTTAGACAGACTACCTTCTTGTAGTGTATATATCAGACATTGACCATTTCTATTGGCATTCCATGCAGCAAGTCATTAAATATGAAGTGTATCAAGCGCCCATCACTCATTGCATTGTTTTGCAGATGCCCAAATACAACCAGATCAGAGCGTTAATGTGGCTCCTGTGGACACAATGCTGAGAAGACTTTTGGGGTTTTCCCCACATTTACCTCATGACGCTTACTAGTCACCAGAGTAACTGATTGAGTAACATTTAGGAGAGGGAATGGAAGCAGCTCGTATCAGAATTGACAATTCGGATGGATGCAACAAATAACTTGTCGAGTTTCAGGTTTACCTATGCATGGTTTACTAGCTGTGAGAAGAATTGTAGGAAAGGATGCAGCCATTCAGAAACCATCAACTATGATGTTTAGTCAATAAACAAGGTGTTAAGAACTGAAATTTTAGACCAAACATTCTTCAGATGTGCAGTTTGGGCCAAAACTATGCAGTTCCCACCAATGACTAGTTTATTGAATTTACAAGTTTTATAATCTCTTAAATTGCACTCTAGAATATCAGTTCATCCCATAAACAAATTGTGACTGAGCAGACTCCACGGTGCAAATACTTTCTATTTATTAACTTTACAAATCTCGAATTATTAATCTCACCAATTTCATTGGGATTGCCATGTGTGGCTATTAGTTTAAAGGACCACTCTAGGCACCCAGACCACTTCAGCTTAATGAAGTGGTCTGGGTGCCAGGTCCTTCTAGGGTTAACCCATTTTTTCATAATTATAGCAGTTTCAGAGAAACTGCTATAATTATGAATGGGTTAAGCCTTCCCCAAATCCTCTAGTGGCTGTCTCATTGACAGCCACTAGAGGCGCTTGCGTGCTTCTCACTGAAAAGTGAGAGCACGCCAGCGTCCATAGGAAAGCAATGCTTTCCTATGCGACTGCTGGCGCGCAGCTCTTGCGTGCGTCGCGTCGGGCGAACGAGGAGGAGAGGAGGAGGAGAGCTCTCCGCCCAGCGCTGGAAAAAGGTAAGTTTAAACCCCTTTCCCCTTCCAGAGCGGCGGGAGGGGGACCCTGAGAGTGGGGGCACCCTCAGGGCACTATAGTACCAGGAAAACGAGTGTTTTCCTGGCACTATAGTGGTCCTTTAATTAATACATAAAGGGAATCAACACAGTAAAGGAGGAGACTATATTTAAAAGAAGAAAAACTACCACAACAAGAGGACATAGTCTTAAATTAGAGGGACAAAGGTTTAAAAATAATATCAGGAAGTATTACTTTACTGAGAGGGTAGTGGATGCATGGAATAGCCTTCCAGCTGAAGTGGTAGAGGTTAACACAGTAAAGGAGTTTAAGCATGCGTGGGATAGGCATAAGGCTATTCTAACTATAAGATAAGGCCAGGGACTAATGAAAGTATTTAGAAAATTGAGCAGACTAGATGGGCCGAATGGTTCTTATCTGCCGTCACATTCTATGTTTCTATGTAAATTAAAAACTAAATTCAATTAAGAGGTTAAAATGCAGAGAGAACTTTGAGCAATATGGCTACAGTTACTAAATCACAATAAAAATGACAATTACGAGAACATTGGACTTCCACGCCTTACAAGGTCATTCAGGTATTGCAATAAATACCTTCCTTCCCATGTGTCCTTGTTTCTGGATTCCTATAACACTTTTCCCACTAACCTTCATCTGGGCACCAACATTCTTTAGATTGTAACAATTGCTCAAACAAGATTATCTCGATTTATCAACTAAACGTCACAATTTTTTTTTTTTTTAAACTAGGCTTTGATTAGTTCTGTATTTTGCCACTGCCCACTGATTAGTACAACAGACAATCTATTCGGAACATTTTGTTCTAACAGAGCAAAGAAACAGTTATGCAAGGAAGTGGCCTGTACAACCCAATAAAAAAAGTGATCGATTAGTAGAGCTTTTTATAAAAAAAGCGCCAACAAATACCGCAGAGCTGTACAATAAAACATGCTAATACTTTGTGACAAAAACAACGTTTAAATGCGCAGCTACAAGACAGGACAATGGCTCTATATAGTTTGAGTGATTACAAAAATAAGTAAATTAAAAACCCACAAACAATATTTAAAGGTATATGGTCCCATGTTTCAGCATAACCCAATTCACAATGGTTTGTGCCTTTTTAGGGACAAGAAATAAAAGATTTTCTTTTATAAATAACTTCATAGTTCGTCCATACCTGGCTGTTTCAACTGGAGAAGAGTATACCATGTGAGTACACTTAATGCTATGCCGACAATGTGCCTGCAAGCACTCTCACATTTTTAACAGATGGCCAAAGCATGTCAAACAGTAGCCATTTCAATGCTGGAGTGATTGAATTAGAAATTGTCAATCTCAAGTGTTTAAATACAGTTTGTGAAAAAGTACAGAATTCTAGAAGCAAAGTCTTCTGCAGCACCTGAAGGGTCAGTTGTCCAAGTTTGAGAAAATTTGCCACAAGCTATTTGTTCTTTTCAAATCAAACGTCTGACAATCAGCTGGACAATTCAATGTGATACAAGCTTAGATTGAGTTTACACTCACTAACTCACTAATTCCCCTAATTCACAGTTTAACAATTAACTAAACCAGGATTTGTTCAATTACAGAGAAAAAGCTGTTTTTTAGGACAAGGCAGGAGAATGACTCAGTTTGGCAATTGTGGGTCAATCTGTAACATTTACCTTAGAGTTCCTGGTTTAAATGGACGAAGAGTGACAAGCACAGAGGATAGCATTGCTCATATTAAGACAGATCGAGACATTTAGCAGAAACAAATCCATATCTGAACAGAAGATAATGTCAGAAATGTTACCTTTTTGCATTTTCTAAAGAGACGCCTCGCCTGTTTGAAACGAGGAAGGAAGAGAGCACCTCAACATGTCTCTAGAGAGTCACTCACACTCCCAGCTCAGGCTGCTGTACACAGGTTATACAAAGCACAGAAAGAATTTACTGTTCAAACAGCAGGACTCATCCTCCCCACTGACAGCACAGATAGTGATCACATTCCAAAAGCCAAACTGGCCTCACATACCTGCAATTCACAGCTCTATTGAGACACAGCCATCTGTAATTACCTGTTACTTTACAAACACAGTATCTAAGCTTTAACCCCCAGGGGTATCACTGCAGCTGGGGAAGATAGACATTAAATTCCCCCAAGCCTTCAATATGGCATATGGCCCAGTGGGGGGGCTCTCCAGAGTACTCAGCATATGGCCCAGTGGGGGGCCCGTCTAGTCAGTGTACAGATATTGTCAAGTGGGTAATGACCCCTCCCATACAGTATATTGCCCGGTAGGTACACCCCCCTATATACAGTATATTGCCCGGTAGGTACACCCCCTATATACAGTATATTGCCCGGTAGGTACACCCCCCTATATACAGTATATTGCCCGGTAGGTACACCCCCTATATACAGTATATTGCCCGGTAGGTACACAGTATATTGCCCGGTAGGTACACCCCCTATATACAGTATATTGCCCGGTAGGTAGGTACCCCCCTATATACAGTATATTGCCCGGTAGGTACACCCCCCTATATACAGTATATTGCCC